CTCTAGACTCTTTGAATCCAGATGGACCTATGATTCCCCATCTTCTAGTGACTGTACCTCCAGAAACCAGTCTGGTTTCTATCTGACCCAGTCAGACACCTGAAGCCTCCCTGTAAGACCCAGTCCTGTTTCTGACATGACTTCTGAACCTAGTTCAGATAAAAAATGTTCAAATAAATTTAGAGAGCTCAAAACACGAGTTTCTAGGGCTTGAATCCAGGAGAACTCACCCACAACGCCAGTTGTTTCAAGAGGTCACTGGGTACAATGGGCTCAAGCAGGTGCCTTTGTTTGGTCACTTGGTGCTCCTGGAGTAATGGAGGTCTACTTCAGATTCCACTTCTGATGCCAAACTATTAAAATTTTAAAAAACTTTAGACAAATTAAACTTAACAGAGTTTGAGCAAAGAATGATTCATAAATTGGGTAGCACTCTGAACCAGCAGAGGCTCAGAGAACTCCACTGAGAAATGAGGTCAGGAGGTATTTATACACAGAAAAGTAAAGTGACATACAGAAACAGCTTAATTGGTTAGAGCTCACCATTTACCCTCATCTGGGTGAGATCTGGTCTGTTGGCAGCCTGTGATTGGCTGAAGCTCAGTTGCTGTGATTGGTTGAGAATCAGCTATTTGCTGCAAGAATACACTCTTAAGTTAGGTTGCAGTTTGTGTACTAAGTTAACATTGTAGTTTACTACGTAAGGAGACCGCTTTGGACCAAATGTAATTCAAATTAAAAATACAATATAATGGCACAGACTTGGGAAAAGATCAGTTAGAATCAGGCTTAGCACAGAAGATAGCCTAGAAGATTATCAAATTATTCTGCATAGTGTAAACGCCTAGAAGTGAAGATGTGAGAACAATTTGGGTATGAAAATAATGGCACTTCCTATGGAGTGAAATCTACCACCTAGAGTGATATATGAGGTAGAAATCTAGGTAGAGCAAACAGCAGATACAAAGAAAGATGAGCTCATCGGTACTGTGTATGTAGTTATGTGGATAAAAGCAGAAGTGCTTGAGTACTTTTTATTCCACTCCCTGTTGTCTCTTACATACACTCCATCATCCAGCACCTTGGAAGTCGGTTTACAGGATGTTTTCTCCTCTTCCTATTGATACAGCTTCAACAATTGAAATAAGGTCAGGAGGTATTTATAGACAGAAAAGTAAAGTGACATACAGAAAAGTAAAGTGGAGGAGTTTGCTTCCTTGACAGTGTCTGTGAAATAATTTGAGGTTGTGGCCATCACCACATAGGTATATGATAGATCAAATTGCTTGAGACATTACATATATTAATATATCTTTATTCTAACATTATTCTTGACTGAGGTTTTAGGTGAGTACAGGCTTCTAGGCTGCTGGTTTTTAGAATTTTGAAGTAATTTCTCCATTAATTTTTAGATTCACTTTTGCTGTTGAGGTCTGGGAAACCAGTCTGATTTCTGATCCTTTGTATGTAAATTGTTTCTCTTTCTTTTTATATTGTTTACTATTTTGTTTGGTGTCTCTTATTCATGTTAAATTTCCTCAGGTCTCTGGTAATGTCTGGATGACTACTCATCTTTAAAGAAAAACACAAGTTCTGAGTACTTGAATGGAATTTTTCTAAGAACTCTAGGGTAATCGTGCAGGGTTGTTTAAGTAATCCTTTAACTATTGACACTATGTGCCAGTAACTTTATGATTTTTCTTTTGAGCTCACCCAGTTCTCCAGAAGAGACACTTTCATTTACCTGCTTCAAAAGTGAAGGCCTAGCTGCTAATATTATTAAAATCAAGAGAGAGAAGGAAAGAGTCAGGGGAGGGTGTCTTAGTTTCCAGTATACTGTATTCGCTTACATTCCTTGTTTCAAAGATGGTGTCTCTATCTTTGACTATGAATAGTTTACACAGTTCAGGGGCCCTCTGCTCTATCCTTTCTAGTGTGAGTAGTGGCATTTACCCACTATTTCAAGTCTGGAAGGGAATCTTTAAATATGGCTGCTTCTTTAAAAGACTGAATCAGCATAATTCTAGCAATCTCTCTTGATCCAGAGGGTACTACTCAGTCTTAAATTGGGGAGATTCTACACATTATGTCAGCATTATTTCTCTGTTTTTCTTTCTGTTTGCCTAGGGTTTCATTTTTTTTACTTTTATTAAATATTTTCAACTAGTTCTTTTTGATTTTCAGCTTCTAAAATTTTGTAGTTCTTCTCCTATTCTCTGAATTTATTTCTTCTGTCATTTTAGTGAGTGTTGGTAGGTTGTAAAAGTAAAAATATTTGCAAAATTAACATTTTTGTTTAACAAAAGTCTAGAAAAATTCCCTTCTGTTGTTTCTGTATTTGGGATCACTTAAACATACAATAATATATCGTATTACAGAGAAATTTATATATAGAATCATTATCAAAAAAAGTAAAAGTATATGTTTTCTACTAATTCATTTCACTGGAAAGTTTAGTAATAGTTCCTTGGGCAATCTGAATACTTTTGAGCCCCTATATTGTAAATTGTTTAATGACTATTATTATAGAAGATTTCAAATACCTGTTTATATGATCTCTGGTTTGTTAATCTACCTATTTATGAGACCTCTAGTTTGTCAAGTTCTACGAATTTGTATTGGAGATTCTAGAATACTGATCATTCTTTGAAATAAAGTAAAATAATTTGTTTTTACAAATTAAGATGTTTTACTTTGAAGTTCCACAAACCTGAGATTTAAATCTTGACTAGCTTGACTTGGGAATCTAGACAGTGATAAAATCTATTTTCTCATTTTTAAAATAGTAATAATAACAGTACAGGTCACATAGGGCGATTTTGAGGATTAATTGAAAAATTGATACATGAGAAACATTTAATATAAACTAGCTATTATCACCGTGATGAAAAGGAGTAGAGAGCAGCAGTAAAAAATATGGGTTTTAAAGGCAGATTTCTAGGGCTTAAAACATGACTCTGCACTCTATTAGGTATGTGGTTCTTTATTTCCATTGCCTTTGTTTAAAAGAAACCAGCCCAATCAACAGTCACTAAACCTCAGTGTCAGACAACGTTGTTTATTGCTCACATGTCTGGGATTTAGCTCAACAGCTCTGCTGATCTTTCCTGGGCTCACTCTCACTTTGACTGTTTTTCTTTTTTTTTTTTGAGTTGGAGTCTCACTCTGTCACCCAGACTGGAGTGCAGTAGCCACTCCCGGCCACCGCAGCCTCAACCTGCTGGGCTCCGGCGATCCTCCCGCCTCCGCCTTCTGAGTAGCAGGAATTACAGGCATGCGTTACCACGCCCGGCTGATTTTTTTTTTTTTTAATTATTTATTGTAGAGATGAGGTCTCGCTTCCCAGGCAGGTCTCGAACCCGCGGGCTCAGGAAATCCACTCACCTCAGCCTCCCAAAGGCACGGGATTACAGGCTGAGCCCTTGGCTCCAGCAGGGAATGACTGGGGAAGTTCAGCTCTGTTCCACTTGTCTCCTTTTCCATCAGGCAAGCCTGGCTATGTTTCATAGTGACAGCAGTGATAGTGATTTACAAGAGAGAAAAATCAAATTGCAAAAACACATTTCAAGCTTATGCTGTCAAATTACTTAATATCACATTATGCAAATAAAATCATATGACTGAGCGAGGGCAGTAATTTCTGCCTCTCAACCAATGTAAGAAAAATGGGGTTCAGGAAAATTACGTAAAAAATACAAGATTATAGGAAGTAGTGAAGACTTGGGGCCATGGTTCCGTCTAGTATACACAGGGATAGAATTCTAAAATCTCATCAGTTAATTTCTTTAGTCAAAAATGTATTAAAGAGTGTTTATTTGAGACAACATTGAATGCTGTGTAGTCTAAATATACTTGAATAAAGCTCTGTACTTCAGGATCCTGAGGTTGACTGGCTCATGTATATCTATGATTTAACTTTATATAAACCATTTGACATATATTTTTATATTTTTTAATGGCCACACTTTACCTTACTCATTAGATAAGCTGACCAACAAGTCATTCAATTGAAGCATTTGAAAAGGCTTCTACTCAATTTCACTGCTGCTCTTGTAATCTCTTGTGTATTGAACTGGTGTCCTCATCTTTTTCTCTTCTTTCTTCTGTTCAAAGGATCCTACCTATGTGCCATCAAAATGAAGTTAGATAATATAATTTCTAGAAATTAAAATATAATATAATGAGGGAGCAAATCATCTTGACATGGTGCTATAGGAATATAGAAGAGAAGAAAGTGATTGACTCCACCTCAGGTGGGCTGAAAAACTTTGTGACATCTATGATGAAACTTGAAAGAGAATGTACCTGGTGAGCCGTGTGGGAAATATAAAACATCTCAGGGAGAACAAGTCTGTTTGCAAAAGTGCAAATGTTTAGCATGCTTTGGTGGCTGATAAGGACAGGAGCCATGAGTTTATAGTCACAAAACTTTAATATACACTTAATCTTTCCATTGTAATTATTTGTCCCCCTAATAGACGAGAAAGCTTAAATTCTAGAAGGCTTTGTCTGGTAGGATAAAGAAAAAAATTACTTAAAAAATTAGACAAGAAAATTATATATCTATTTTCCTAGGATGCTCAATGTTTTGGGGACCTTCTGTCTTCAAGAAATCAACTGTTTTGCAAAGGATATTTGAGTCTAGCAAAAATTTGCCTTAGACCATTGATAATTATCTCTACATTACTAAAGAGTATGATTTAGACATGGCCTTATGTCTGGTTATTACATGGTATTCAAGTGTAATATCCCTAATTAAAAAGATCTCATGCAATATAAAATATAAACAATTAATAGAACGATCCTTTTCACATTTAAAATTTTAATTAGCAATTGTCACATCTTTTGAGAGATGAATTTAAGTCATCACATTATGAAATCTATTTTCTAAATTGTAAAATTATAAATTTTGTTTCTTGGCAAAAAGCAATCTATTTTTGAAGGCAGTGAGGTTGAAATTCTGAGGTGACTAATTGTATATTTTTCCCATTGTCTTTTAGATATGACTATTATTCTAAAACAGAAGCATCTTTTGAGAGAAATTGGGTTTTGGCTGTGAGACATTTAGCTGCAGTCCTCTTTCCTACAACATTGATTACATCGTATAAATTCCAGAAGGGGCTGCCACCACGAATGCTTGCTTCTAATGACACAGCGCCTTTCATCAATGACTTTACTACCTTTCAGAATGTAGTCCTGCTTATTTTAAATATGCTTGGAAATGTGGTGTAAGTCTTCAGGTAAGAATCTTACAAAGATACTTAAAAAAATCAATACTACACCAAAAACAAAAATTAATACTGTATTGCATAGATAAATTAAGAAATATCAACTGAATCAGAGATATAGCATTATAACACTTTGAAAAGGAAGTTGTGATTTCCTGTGGCTATGTATTCCATTTTCTTAAACAATAATCACTCTTGATATATGGCAGAACAATATAATGAGCACACATTTTGACCCTCCCTTGAAATTGGCAAACCAATTAAAGCATGCTTTTTGTTCTACACACTTACCACACCTACATGCACCTTTACTTTTGTTCATCAGACTTTTAAAAACTTATCGATTGTGCTCTTAAATTTGAAGAAAACATAAACACTTCACAAGAAAACCTGCCATGATTAATGAAATTGCTAGCAATTTTACTTACCCAAATTCCTCCAATTCAGTATAAATTGTCATGGAAGAAGCCGTTTGCTCTGGCACTTTAAATGCTGGTTCTTCTAGTGAATGAAAAACAGAAGGATTCTATCGTTAATTACAAATTGAAAAATTACCATGTTATTCCTCCTTTCCACATATGCACTGAAGCACTGACCCAAATTAAAACAGAATTATACTATTTATTTGTGTTTTTCAAAACAAAAGATTGAATCTGAAATATATAAATGGTGAAAATGACACAAGAATAAATTATATATGTGTTTTAAAAGCATTTCTGGCCATTGCCTTGGTGGCCATGTGCTCTTTGAGCTATTGCTGTTGCCACACTTCCTGGCTTTGGTCCCCTCCCCTAGCTTGGGAAGGTGAATCTTCTCTCTCTCTCTCTAATTTACTTTTAAATAAACTATATTTTCTAATCTAAAAAACAAAAGCAAAAACATTTCCATTAGTTAGAATAATAAAAATATCCACTTTAGGGACTTTATGCAACTGAAGTTTTTTCTGATACCAGTAATAACACCAGTGCAGCATTGTCAGTCTGTAAGTTGCTTTCCCTTCACACAATGAGCAGCTGACCAAGTCTCCTTCACTCTGTGAAAATTGTTCTTGGTGCATTTTTTTTTCTGAGAAAGAAAATGAATCGATTTGGCTCATTCTGCTTAATAGATGCATAGTGTTTCATTTAATACATTTACTATTATTATGAATATAAGTTATTGCCAGTAATATAGCAATGGCATTCTCTGTATACTTTTCTTTTTTTTCTTTTTTTGAGTTGGAGCCTCACTCTGTCGCCCAGACTGGAGTGCAGTGGCCGCTCCCGGCCACCACAGCCTCGTCTGCTGGGCTCCAGTGATCCTTCCGCCTCAGCCTTCCGAGTAGCTGAAATTACAGGCATGCGCTATCACGCCTGGCTGATTTTTTGATTTATTGTAGAGATGAGGTCTCGCTGCCCAGGCGGGTCTCGAACCCGCGGGCTCAGGCAATCCACTCACCTCAGCCTCCCAAAGGCGCGGGATGACAGGCTGAGCCACCCAGCCCGGCTTCTCTGTATACCTTTCTTTCATCATTTATGTTTTTGCCACCAAATTAATAGAAAGAATATGAAATAAAATCAGTAGGTTATATACTGCCAAATGGTTTTTGCCAATAATGCAACAAATGGCATGCATGTTTACTTCTCTTTGTATAATTTATTATTTTACCACTAGATTAGTTTTTTTAAAAAAATGAACTGAAATTGACGAGTCTTATATTGCCAAGTGGTACTGAAAAAACTTTGCAGGAGTTTACATGTAATAATTTTATATCTTTTATAGGTTGCCTTTGTATGGGAAATTTAAGGAAGGTAGAAGTTACAAGGAAGCTAACTCTAGACACTTTTGAAAAAGTTCTTGAAACATTTCATTCAAAACTTCTGGGAGTGATTAATGAATTAAAAATGAACAACTCTAACTTGACAACGAGTAATTTTTAAAAAGTTATGCAATCTTAACCACGTAGTTGTATTATTTCCAATGCTTTTGATTTATGCTTATTTAAGATTTTGTATAGGCATTCCTAACTTAAAATTCAAATGAATACAATGACTATTTTGCTCAATTAATAATGATTGATTTTTAAATTCATCATCCTTCAAATATTTAAGATTAAGGGAAATTGCATTATGCTACCAAAAAAACAGAAATTAGCAAACAGACGTCAAACTTGTATGATATTTTTGTTGTTGTTCTACATAATCTAATTTCATGACATTTAGAATAATATATCTTGCTGATTTATAACCCAAATTCTGGACACTTTGAAATAAAATACTGACAGTTTAAAAATTTAAAACTAATAAAATGGAACTGAAAACTGCAATACACTAACTGATTTGTCAGGGTTTTTTTTTTCCTTTTTCTGACCACAAGTGTACAGAGTTCCCCTCCTTTGATCCACACTTGATGATGAATGCATTATATATGTACCGTATAACAAATGAGAAGAACGTACTGGCCAAGAGGTGATGATTTCCAGAGCTGACCGCTGGCATGAAGCTTTCATATGAAGGTTTTCCCAGAGCTCACTCACAGACTAAATCGACCCACTAACTTTTGGGAAATGAAATTGGATAAATTGGTTTGAATAGCATGGGTACTGGAATAGGAAACTGTAGTTTAAATCTCAACTATGTTGTTTCCCATTTTAGTGAGCATTGGCAATTTTTCTAGTACCCTCTGTATTCAGTTTACCTGTTAAAATGGAGATTATAAAACCTACTTTGAAAGATTATTTTGAGGTGTCATTAAAATCATAAGTTACTAGTGCTTTTTCCAACAGGTAATAGACACCCACAAAAAGTAGCAATTATCACAATATTTGTGCTTAGATGTGGATACATGTTTTATTAGTGGGGCAGTAAAAGCATCTATGATGAGCTGAGACCATGAATAAATTTCTGTTAAATCCACAAACACACAGAAGATTCCCTGGTAGCTGTAGATAATGGATGCAGTAAAATAAACATCCTCCATATCTTCTTTCCAGACTGTGTGAAATAACTGAGTCAATGAACTGTCTATACATAACTAAGCCTTCATTATTATATAAAGATAGACAATGCTGAAACAGCAAAATTACTTAGATTAAGAAGAGAAATATCAACAAACACCAGTGCCCCAGTTCCCCTGGTTTCCACTGCATCCCAGCTAGCAAAGGTAGACTAGCTTTGAGCCTGAATGTGGGCTGGAAGTACTACCAGAAAGATTAAATCCAAATGTATTCTGAAGATGCACTCAGTGGGCATATCAGAAGACCTCAGAGCACAGCTGGAGGGATGGGAGGAAGATTTCAAAGTAGGTGCATCTTAAAGGGCCAGGCCCTTAAAATCCTTAAATGAAAGGACTTTATTTTAAAAAGCAAGTTTGATGAAAAGAACAGGCAGTTTCAAGTGACAGTCTTGCAACAACATAACTTCTGCAGGAGAAAAAGGCAAAAAGGAAGAGATGTAAATGAAACAAAAAAACAACAGAAAGCAACATTAAAATACTAGAAGAAAATATGGAAGAATTTCTCTTTAAATTTGGTTAGGTCTCAGGCTTTCTAAGTTCAAACCTACAGGCAGTAATAAAGAATTGATTTGATCACATAACAATGCAAAATCTTGCATGATAAAAACAGCATATACAAACACAGAATATAATTTATCTTTGAGGAAATATTCAGAACATTAACCATAGTCGCATGGCAAATACTCTAATATATATTTTAAAAACTCTTAAAACTTGAGGGGTAAATGACTAAAACCCTTATTTAAAAAACAGGAAAACACATGGGCAGATGATTTAGATGATTTACCCACAAGATATAATTGTGACATAAAAGACATACAAAAAAGATATTAAAAATAACCCTCATGAAAAAATATTTAAACTCACCATTACAGAAATGCAAATTAAAAAGTTGAGATACTATTTTCAAGTGATTATACTGACAAAAATTAGAAAATGTGGTAAGCATTCTGTTGGTTGAAACTGTGGCAATACAGGTATTAAGATAAATTGCTGATGGGAATGAAATTGGCATAACCCTTCAGGAGGGAAAGTTGGCAAGACCTAACGAAACCACATATGTACTTATCATTTGACCCAGTGATCACACTTCCAGGCATGTACCCTGAAGACATACCTCCATCAAAGGCAAAATAGTGACATACAAGTTTATGTGTGGTGCTATTATTTGTCATTGCAAAATACTGGAAACAATTTATGCTCAAAATAGGAAAGTGATTCCATAAAAAAAGAATTTTTGAGATGTGTTGTTGAATATGATTTGCTAGGATCTTGTTGATAATTTCAGCATCTATGTTCATCAAAGATATTGGCCTATAGTTCTTTTTTTTTTTCTGGATCTTTACCTGGTTTTGGTATCAAAACCTGGTTTCATAAAATGATTTGGGGAGAGTTCCATCTTTCTTGAGTGTCTGGCATACATTCAATAGGACTAATATCAGATCCTCCTTGTATGTTTTGTAGAATTCTGCTGGAAATCCATCTGGTCCAGGGCTTTTTTTGTAGGTAGTTTTCTTATGACAGTCAATTTTCTGGATTGTTATTGGTCTAGTTAGGATCTTGATTTCTTCTTGTTTCAACTTGGAGGGATTGTGTAATGTAAGAAAGTCCTCTATTTCCTTTAAGTTTTCAAGTTTGTTTCCATATAAGTGTACATAGTAGTCTCTGATAATCTTTTGTATTTCTTCAGGGTCAGTTGTGACTTGATCTTTTGCATTTCTGATTGTGTTTATTTGGGTTTTTCCTTGGTTAGTCTAGCTAGGGGACCATCAATCTTGTTTATCCTTTCAATAACCAGCTTTTTATTTTGTTGGTTTTTTCTATTATCTTTTTGTCTTCTATGTCCTGATTTGGGCTTTTATTTTGATGATATGGATTTTTCTGCTAAAGTTGGATTTTTGGTGGTCTTGCTCTCCACTCCCTTAGGTGATTTGTTAGGCTGTTAACTTGTGATCTTTCCATTTTCTTCTTGTGTGTTTATAGAGATATGAATTCCCATCTTAGTACTGA